CTCTTCCCCAGGAATCCTCAAGAGCAGCGGGGGTGCTGCCGGGTTGGTCCCGCAGCCCCAAGGGGCAGCACTATGAGACCAACCCGGCAGCACCCCAGCTGCTCTGCCCCCAGCTTCCCCGATTCAGCTGCTGGTCAGTTTCAGCAGTGGCTGAATCGGGGAAGCGGGGCGCAAAGCAGCTCCTATTGTTCAGCAGCTAGAGCACTTCCGGGCTCCTGATGGTGCCAGACCATCAGGAGTGCCGGAGCATTGGATGCCGGACCAATGGAGTTTTACTGTACTTACAAAGTTTTGAAAATTTAGTATATCAAATACAGCTATCAAATCAATCATGTTGAACAGTGACTCAAATTTGACTAAAAATTTAGTTGCATACTATCAAAATTAGTTTTAGAAATAATGTCAATATACCTTATGTTAATTTTTTTCCACAACTAATTAATGTATTCATTTTAGAAATTTCTAAAGAATGTCTATCAGTGCCTTCTTTGAACACAATGGATACTCAATCCTGATCCTTCTTAAATTGGAAGGTATTTTGCCATTAGTTTGAGCCCTTCATACCATATAATTATATTGAACATGTTTCAGGTATTTTGGGATCACTGTAGTCATGCCAGGATTCGGTTCTATTTTCCCTTGTGCTCTACAATTCATAAATCTTACTGGAAGAAGCTAACATTTTCCAAGTTATCACGTGTTTTGCTGCTATGTCTTTCCTCCCACTCCCCAAAACATACCAGAATACTACTGTACATACAATAAATTGAATCTCAAAGCAAGAATTCTTAGTATGCACATGATCAAGATGAGGATATTATTTTCCTTTTAACCAAACTTGGCTCATGGCTGATGCTTCTATCAATCACTAATTTAACAACTATTACATCATTTTGGTAGTTTGCATTCTAAACAGGGGTAATCCACCCTGTAAATACGTAATAATAAAGTGAATGCTAAACAAAGATCACTGAATAGGCCTTAGCAAGCGCTATACTTTATTCTAATGTAGTGAGAAAAGCTCGCCTGGAGTCCTATTGTCCATGCTGTATCCTGACATGTATATCATCCGTGAACAGAAAAACGACTTCAGTCTTTAGGGCAAGCAAGGCTACGTTCTAGTATGTAACATTTCAACAATAGAAAATATGGTTAACGGAGCCAGACTATAAAAGAAATTGCCTGGCCGTGTTAGATTCAAAAACCATCAGTGAACATTTTTGTGGTCAGCCTCCCCGAGAACAAATATTGCGAAAGATTCTGAAGAAATGCAAGAGTCACTGAAAGCGCGGGACAAATGCAAGACTCAGGCAATGCCACAGACCTGGATGGAAGTTCACTGTGTGCTTCTGATCCCAGGAAGCTAAAAGAGCGGCAAAAAAAAAATAAAAAAAAAAAAAAAAAAAAAAAGCCAGAAAACCCATTACCAGCGGCACAGTGGTCTATACAAAAATCAGAGGGAGTCCCTCTGCTCCCTCCTCCCCGGGGCCAAGGCAGGACAAGCCCCCACCCAGCCCTTTGTCCTGCTGTGTTTGAGATGGCCCGAGCTATAGGGGGTGACCCGTGCTCGACACTTGGGGTTCCGGGAGCAGGGTCGCCCTCCGGTGCACCGGTGCTCGGCGGGCAAGGACGGCGAACCCGCCCCCGGGCAGGGGATACATACAGCGGGGTCGCGACGCTCCGAGCGGGCGCTGAGGACGCAGCCGGCACAAGGGCTGCTGGCGAGACCGGGAGAGGCGCCGGGCAGGGCGGCAGGGGCCGCCTGAGCCGCTATTTAAGGAGCCTCATCCCGCGGGGGGGGGGCG